TATTCCACTCATGGACGACGGACCCAATTTTATCAATGGTAAGTTACCTCTTCTTTCACCTTACATTGCCATTTTTGGAGATTCTATTATTAAATACCTGTATCAACACCTTTTTTTACTTTAAAGACCAACATGCTTTAATTAAATCCATTAGTGGAGCCAAAATATTTGACCTTTTAGACTCTATCTTTACTGCCACAGACTGTAAAATACCTAATTCTTCATGTTGGAACTAACGACCTCAAACGGAACTCAACGACCGCTTATGACTGTTTTAATGACCTACAAACCTTACTGTTACATATTTTGACTCTCTGTACTGACCTTCACGCATGTTTCTCAAGCTTTATTTACCATGACGTAAATAGACATACCGATGATCTCTTTCTAAGACAAGTCTGTACTACTGACACTTTAAATCACAAAATTGACAAATTCAACGCTCTCGCACATGATCTATGTTGACGTAACCCACACTTGTCTTTCCTTTACAACACTAACTTGAAAGCAGGAGACATTTCTTAGTAAAGGATGGTTTGCACCTTTCTTTCCAAGGAATCATTTTCTTATCCTGTAATTTCCGCTTCTTTATTACCAACTTTATTCTTCCTCGCCTACAAACTAATACTGAATACTCCAGCGTAAACCAACCAAACACCCCTAGTTCTAAATCTCCTTCAACCTCTTCTATTCCCCATACCCCTATCTCATTAAAAAAACTTCAACCCCAAGAGCATACATCTGTATGCCACATCTCTACTTCACTTCCAAACCCTGTTTCTCCTGGAACTGTCCCAAACTCTAATTGTGACCCTTCGCCTAAATGTCTAACCTATGCTGAAGTTATGACTTCCACTTTTATTTCTAGTAACCTTTCCCTAAGCCCTAAATCTAATACCCAATCCACGAAGTCTGCCTCAGTCACATCCTTTCAACCCAAAGTACATACATCTGTATGCCACACTTCTATACTTCCAAATTTCATTTCTATCACTACTTCCCCAGGAACTATTCCAAAGTCTACATTTGACACTTCTCCTAAATTCTCTACTCATGCAGAAGTTACGGCTTCTGCTCTTATTCCTAATAACCTTCTAGTAAGCCCTGAACCTAATGACCTTCCAAATTCCACAATCTCTGAAACATTTCTCCTTCCAAAAGCCGAATCTTCTGCACACCTTGAAAACAACCTTCCTTCTGGTATCCTCTATATTCCTAGCAATTCTCCACTAAGTTCCAAACCTGATGACTCTGAACCTTCATGTCGCATAGAAAAATCTTCCACTCTCCTCAAACTAAACCTTCCCTTCATTACAATTTCCCAATTGTATTCTAATCTCAACCCTACCAAAATTTTCAAACGACTTAGAAAACTGAATGAAAAGAGACTGAGATATATTAACCATACTGACGTTTTAGAACAGCATTTACAGTGTCAAACTATACCTAAATCACTTAATCTGAATCCACCAGTTACCATAGGGGCCAATGACAGATTATTTTATTTACAATGGAAGAAAATCCTCCATTCCACCTCAGTTGCACTTATGAAGTTCACACAAGACTTCTACAAATCCACAGTAGCCGATTTTTTTAAGTCTCTTTGTTCTTCTGAAGAAGAATAGTCAACTATTCGAATGCACTCGAGTTTTGGGTCTTATTTTAAGTCTATTACACTTTATATGTGATCTTTTGTGCTAACTCTTTTATCAAAATAGTCAACTAAGTAACCAACATCCATAAATACAGTTCCCAATGAAAGTATACATTAGTTGTCCTTCATGGTAATATCTAAAAATTAGACTTGTAAGGACATCAAACATTAGAGAAAACTGACCATACTTACAGTTACATACACCATTCCTCTTTCATCCAGAATCATATAAAATGTATGTCATGAAAATTTGTGGATAAAGCTGCACTATTCACAAGTGACAGATACCTAGAATCAGTTACAATTTCTTTAAGAAATTTTCAAAACTACTAGATGTTCAACTTTGATCATCAAAAAATTAAAAGCGGAAGATTTTTAGATCACTCATCAACAAAAAGCTAGAAGCAATTGAAATTCTATATTTCTGGCTGATAATTCAAAAACAGGTTATTTGTTTTCACTATCTTATCTTATCCATGGAATGGGTGAAAAGGTACTGAGAATTCTTAGCTGATATAACATCACAGCAGATTTCAAAACTGTAATGTGGTAATGCTTGACAAATAAAAGAACAAGCTTAACTTCATGATAAAGCATGTTAATGTGAAAAGGAAAATACTGGGGAGACAATGAAACCACTGCATTCTAGAGCAAAAAACATCAAAATGCTACAAGATTGTTCAATGAGAGTAAGTTTTGCAATTTCAACTAATTTAATATTTATACTTTTGTAAAGAAAGCATTATTGAATTTCAGGCTACCTCATTTATTATCATTTAATGGTGCATATATTTATACATGCATACCAACTGAAATTCGTTACTGATCACCAAGTAGTAATTATTTCACTAGTCACAAATTGTAGGTTATTATAAATTTACATTTTTACTTGCTATTCTCTATCAAGTGATACCATAATCTATAAATCTTTGTTTTAATAGTTTGTGAAGTCTCACCTCCACGTACTCCTCCCCCACCTTCCCCATCACCTGAACGTTCACCAAGTCCATCAAAGGAGAAACTTAAATTAATATTGCAGCAAGCCATGACAGTGACCAAAACACCAGGTGTGATCACTTTCAAAGCTTTAATTTCACCGAAGATCAACTCTCGTCTTTATGCTAGCAATACATTTTACAAACTTTTGGGTAAGTATAGATAATATATAATTTAATTATGAAACATATCCGTAATATACTTTTTCTTTAGCATTTTTCCTCTCAAAAAGTACCTTCCTGTTCTGTTTATTTTATATGTACATAAATATGAATATACTAAAGAGAAGTAGTTGTAAGCTTGCATTAATCCTTCAGCTTAGAAAAAAGTTCAATGTCACAATGATTGTTCTTTAACTCTCCTACATGATGAACTTTGTTTCTGTGTCATGCTCTACTGGAGTAAGGTCATTCTCAGTTTGAAGGTTTGTACAGAAACTAATACAAGTTTGTGTAAGGTGTGTGTTTATGAATATGAATCACCATTGATGTAAATAAACTGTGATTGTGGGATACTATACTCGGACTTTCGTATTATTCAAGTGGCAAGTGTGTGGTATCATCATTATTCCCATATTTATTTTATGCAGGGGTATTTTCTTCATCTTCCAGCAATCATATAACTTCTACATAACATTCTGGCCAGTTTATGTAAAGCACCAGCAATACATTTCTGTGATTTGTATGATAAACTTGTTTACTGTGAAATTTGTAAACGATGATCAGAGAAAGAGCAGTTAATAGTAGGAAATTGTATTTGAGGCCAGGAAAGAATCTGAAAATGTGACAAGAAGTAGGAGAGGCCTTCTCCTAGAGACCTAGACCAAGAATGTTTGTCACCCAAAGTAAGAACTATGTTTTTGTGTTCTTGCTTCTTTGCTGGGACCTAAAGAGTTACAGATGGCTAGGTTATGGGAAACCCCAGCTGCTGTAATATGACCTTTGCTGGTTAATTCCCAAATATAGGAATATTAGACAGCAAAAATAACATATGGCAGCAACAGTCAGCTTAGACATTCCAAAATGGACTAAGATGGCCTTCTGGGGGCTCTTAAGCATATATTAACTAATTCAGGAATTACTCAATGATGATTTGAATCACCAGTGACCAAAAAGAGTAGCTGTTTAATGCATCAAGTTATTTGCAACACTTCCAGATAGATTGTCTTGCATTCAGCATCTTTCCACTTTCCTGTGGATCTTTGGGGGAAGTCAGAAAACTTATTGAATGAAATATATGCTGCTGAAATTCTTAGAATATGTCAAGCAGCATAGGTTGAAATGTATACTTTTGTGTCACTGTGTGTGTGCTCTAAACTTTGCCAAAGGAAACCACACTAGTCAAGATGTAAGTACCATATTTGATGGTGTATAAGTTGAAGTTTGAAACCAAAGTATTTACCCTTAAATTTTTTATCTCAACTTCTACTTGACTTAATCCTGTAGACTCCCAGTGGAGCATAGGGCCACAACAACACCTCACCAACGGACTCTGTTCTGGGCTGCTCTCCTCAGCTGGGTCCACGCCATTCCAGTGGCCTTCGCTTCACTCCCGACCGATCTCCTCCACGTCTGTTTTGGCCTCTCAGCTTTTCTTTTCCCTTGTGGGTTCCAGTCCAAGGCCTGCCTTGTAACGTTGTCAACTGGTTTTCGCAGTGTGTGTCCGATCCAGCCCCATTTTCTTTTCCTGATGTCTTGGCTGACTGGGTTTTGGTTGGTCCTTTTCCATAGCTCTGTGTTTGAGATCTTCTCTGGCCACCTGATGTTTAGGATGTGTCGCAGGCACTTGTTGATGAACGTCTGTATCATGCTTGTGATGGTTTTCGTAACTCGCCATGTCTCGGACCCATACAAGAGGACTGCTTTTACATTTGTGTTGAAGATGCGGATCTTGCTGCACAGGGATAAGGCTTTGGAGTTCCAGATGAGTCGCAGGGTGTTGAACACGAGCCTTGCTTTGTTGATCCGGCTCCTAACGTCTTCGTCTGCGCTGCCGTCTCTGCTTACTATGCTTCCAAGGTAAACGAGGCGCTCTGTTTCCTTGATGTCTTTTCCCTGCAGCTGCAGTGGGTGCTCTTGTTTGTTGTTCAGCCGCATCACCTCCGTTTTCCTGGTGTTGATCTTCAGGCTGGTCTTTCCTGCCTCCTCAGCGAGCCGGGTGAGCTTGGACTGTGCATGCTGTTGCTTGTGGGACAGAAGGCTGACGTCGTCCACAAAATCCAGGTCCTCCAGCTGTTTGGTGAGGGTCCACTGGACACCGGTTGTGCCATCCTCAGTCGTTCTCCTCATGATCCAGTCCATGGTGATGAGGAAGATTGTCGGAGACAGCATACAGCCTTGCCTCACTCCGGTTTTCACTGGGAAGGGGCTTGTCAGCATTTCGTTGTGAATGATCTGGCAGGACGAGTCCTCATAGAGCTGATGAGCTTCGGAGGAATTCCGTAGTGCTGCATCAGCTCCAGATGGTTTCCCTGTCGATGCTGTTGAAGGCTTTTTCAAAGTCAACGAAGGTCGTATACAGAGGAGACTGCCATTCAATGGACTGCTCGATGATGATGCTCAGAGTGGCGATGTGGTCTGTACACGATCTATCTTGTCTAAATCCTGCCTGCTCTGATCTCAGTCTTTTATCTAACACCTCTTTCAGTCTCTCCAAGATGATTCTAGTCAGCACCTTGCTGGGGATGGACAGCAGCATGATTCCTCGCCAGTTGCCGCGAAAAAGTCTCCTTTCTTGGGCAGCTTCACTAGGTATCCAAGCTTCCAGTTGGCGGGCACTTGCTCCTGCTCCAAAATCTTCTGCAGGAGAGGATGTAGTGTCTCTGCTGCTGCTGTCGCGTCTGTCATGAGAACTTCTGGCGGGATGCCGTCAGGACCTGCTGCCTTGCCTTTCTTCAAGGACTTGATAGCTTTGATTATCTCTGCCTTGGTTGGTGAGTTGGTGTTGACACGTAGGGGCTCCTCTGCTGCTGGTGGTGGTCAGTTCAGAATCTCCTCAAAATGCTCTACCCACCGTGCTCTCTGTTCTACATCGCTTGTGATGGTTCTTCTCTGTTTGTCCTTGACTGGCTTACTTAGGTTGAAGCTCTTCCTTGACAAGGCACGCGTGATTTCATAGGTCTCTTCATGTTATTCTGACTAGCTGCAGCTTCTGCCTCCTCTGTCAAACCTT